TATTATAATCACATGCAGTTAACATGTGAATACTTATCTATTAGAATCACATGCAGTTAACATGTGAATACTTATCTATTAGAATCACATGCACTTAACGTGTGAATACTTATCTATTATAATCACATGCACTTAACATGTGAATACTTATCTATTATAATCACATGCACTTAACATGTGAATATTTATCGATTATAATCACATGCAGTTAACATGTGAATACTTATCTATTAGAATCACATGCACTTAACGTGTGAATACTTATCTATTATAATCACATGCACTTAACATGTGAATACTTATCTATTATAATCACATGCACTTAACATGTGAATATTTATCTATTATAATCACATGCAGTCAACATGAAAATATTTCTTCCAACATTAAATTTTTGACAGAAATTAAACTAAATTTTAATTTGCCAAAGACATAGTCCAGATACAACCCAGGACAAAATAACCTGGCTATTGCTTATGTATGCTGATGGTACTTACCATGAATGTACAGCAAAGTTGCATAGTATGTTGTCTGGGTCAACTATGGTTGACACCTAGAATATTAATTCATATAAAGCACATGAAGTTTGTGTATAATGTGCATCTTCAAACTTGAGGCATACATTTAATTGACATGCTGTTATGACCATGCTTTTACTGTTACAACAAATGACAGTACAGTATGTATGCCTTCTATTTATGTATGGTTTAACTAGCATTTACAATTGCTTAATTTCATTCTTACAGGCTGCTTGTCACAAGGAAAGACAGGTTTCCAAGAAAGCTGTGGCTGCAATTCATGATATTTTGACCGAGTTGTTATCAGCCAAGAATGAACAAGCACATTTCAATTTTCATGAATCATTGTTTAAACCGCTGGAAAGCATGTTGTGTTTGGAATTATGTGATGAAGATGTCCAGGATCAGGTAAGAAATTGTCAGATTGGGTCTTTGGTCTATTCATTACTCATTAAAACGTCTATTCATGTTTATAGAAGCTAGGAAAATTATTTATGTTTTTGGATGGCACCTTTTATTTTAATATTTCTTTTGTTTTCATTGAATGATTCTTATGTTTTTATGGAATGGATCTATTGTTTTTATGGAATGACTTTTGTTTTCATGGAATGAATCTTTTGTTTTTATGGAATGATTCTTTTGTTTTTATGGAATGATTCTTTTGTTTTTATGGAATGGTTTAGTAGATTACAAACTAACAATGTTAGATGCCTTTGTTTCATGGATTGATATTTTCCTAGCTATGGAATGGATCCTTTTATCTCATGAAATGATTCCGTTGTCTCCATGGAATGGATTTGTGAAATGGCTCTTTTTTTTTTTTTGTCATCCTCTATTTGTTTTTCAGATTGTATCTTCTATATGTGAATTGGTTGAGGCATCCTCTAGTAATATAAAGTCAGGATGGAGACCGTTATTTGGTGCCTTGCGAGCTGTGAAAGTGCACAAACAGAAGATCAGTGAACATCATACAGCTCCAGTGTTTGACGTCTTTGAAGCCTTTTTGAATACTGATAATGTATTTGTGTTTGCCAATGCTGCTATTGATTGTATATTATGTTTGCTCAAGTTTGTGAGGGGTCCAGGTGAGTTGATGACAACTATTAATATAAATGGAAGACATTTTTATCAAACAAAAACCGTATTTTGAAAAAGAAAATTTTTTTTTGAAAATGTATAAAATATTTGATCTGCTATCCCAGAATGGCAGACATATCTCCAACTTCTATTATATCTTCCCTGCATTTTCACAATTTCATTCTAAAAAATAAAGTGAATTTTGTACAACACTTAATGTGTAAACCCTGCAAATTTTGAAAGTCATGTGTTCCTCGCAGAAAATATGCTTCTGTATTAGGATACTCAAAATTAAATGATTAATCTACGCACTTTCTTAGTTATATTGAAATTTGTATGATTTGCTAAATGAAAGAATTTGAAAGTTGTTTTGTTTTTTCCGATAGGTGAATGTGAATTGGTACTAGAAAGTGGAAATGCAGACGATAGTGATGCAAGTTCTACTGTCTCTGATAAATCACTTCCTTTACAGGCTGTAGATTTATGTCTTCCAGCTTTAGATTACCTTCATCGTTGCCACAAAATACTTGCTTCAATTTACACCATGCCAGCTTGTCCAATGTTCCATGGTGCAATGTCAATACAACTCAACATAGCTGCATTGTCAGCTGACTTGGATTCACCAATCAAAGAGTTCTCAAGTAGTGTAACATCTGCATTACGTGATTCAAAAACAAAAAAATTTACAGCACAAGATTCAGTTGAGGAGTTACTGGCACCAGTGTCTATAAGAAACATGGATGATGAGTCTGGTATTATCCGAGTTTGGTTTCTTTTATTGGAAGGATTGACTGGTGCTGTGTCTACCTGTCCCAGGAATTATCAACCACAAACTCTCGAGTTATTGTTTGATTTGTTGAGATCAATCACCACAATACCAGGTATGTACCATTTGTGATGTAAAAAATATCCATTTGAACTGTCTCAACCCTAGCAGATGAAGAATCCTACATACAGGTACATTTCCCCATAAAACGGAAACGGGAGACCATACTCATAATGGTCAAGAGTAGGGTTTCAAACTTCTACTATGCATCTGAGACCTCAAACTGGTCATTAACTCCCATTAATGTTCTTGTAGCCATCCTTCAGGGTTCATAGCATGGGGAAAATCCTTTGAAAGTCTTTGGATTTTTTGATGATGATGTTGGCCTGAATTAGGGGTCAAAATGTCTTGAAAAAATGCAAGAAAGTTTGGGAAAAGGTCTGGAAAAGTCTTGGAAATCATTTGGCTCTTGGTGCTATTGACCCTGTCTTTTAAGTATTAGTAAACTTACACTTGTGAAGTTTCTAATACTAATACTACATGTAATACAGTTGTTATTATAAAACCCTGTTAATGAAGATGCATTCTTGTTTTTCTTGTTGACAAATAATGCTGTAAAACAATTCTCTGTTTTAGGTCCCCAGTTTGCAGTGTTTGCTGTAACCAATCTACTGTTACCAATGCTGCTGTCTTGGGTACGTCGTAGTACACGTAGTAGTTACTGGGACACATCATTGGCTAATTTCAAACATGCCTGTGGATTGTCAGTGGAATTGGTTGTAGATCATGTAGTCTATTTTGTTACCAGTGATATTACCATCATTGGTATTCATCAGATGATTAAACAACTATTTGATTTATTGATTGAATGTATTGGACAACCAATGGAGTCTATATCAAGACTAGGCTGTTCCTGTATAAGGTAAGAACACATAGATAGTACCCTATTGGAAATGTTGAACCAAAACTAATTGAAAGAAAGTGAAAATCGCATCTCCCCTCCCCATTGCAGGTGACATCTCCCCGTCCCCATTGCAGGTGATATCTTCCTCTTCTCTATCGCAAACAACATTGCCCCAACCCTCCATGAGTAATATCTTAAAACCTCCCCCCTCCACTTTTGACATTACCTTAATGTTGGAATCACCCCACAATATAACTAAATTACTAATGTTTTAAATTGCAGACATGTATTACTAAAAGCAGGTCCTGTGTTAACAGATGACATGTGGACAATAGCCTGTGAAGGCATGCAGAAAGCTACTTTAGTCAGTTTACATTCCACTAAACAACTGATGGCTAATTTCCATCCTGGATCTGATGACTTCACTGGAGATGTAGGGCAAGTTAAAGTGGCTGCAAGGAGAGACTGTAATGAAATGGAGGCTGAAAGATTAAGACAGATTGCACAGCAGGTAATCAGGTCTAATCAATAATTTATATGTTGCAAGGATAAGAACATTTCCTGCTTCTGTAGCTTATTTAACCTTTTCACCACCAGATTTCTCATTAAATTTGTCTGCACTTTTTTCTTATATTCCTGGAAATGAAACCTAGTTTTGGAGCCAACAGACAAAATTTGAGACAATTTTCAGTTTTTACTCAAGTAATTCGACTATTTTTATCCCATCTTTATAAGGAAAGTGCAGACTATAAACAGGACTATTTTGTGAATTTGTGTTGAAAAGGTTAAGCTTGCATCAATGACGATTTTTGTAATGAATTGTATTGGTGTTGTTTATCCGACATTTATTGCAATACTTGGAGCGAGAAAATTTGTATAGTTTTTGTGTTTCCGGGATAAAAAAGAGGGTTGGTAGTAGGGCTTCCTGTAAAGCATACCTGGACTTTGACAACATTTCAATATCTCTTATAAACTATGGACCAACCTTGATACATCAATCTTGGTACAATCTGTAAAACTCACTAAATATCAAACAAATCTGAGTTCATGAAATTCCTTATTTTGGCTGTTGTCATGTCAACAAGAATTACCCACATTGCACTGTGTATACAATTTAAAATTGAGCATAGAACACATTATCTGAATGATTAAACCATGAATTTAAAACCCACTGAATATGTCTGAAATGCTGAATCAGCGAAATTTTATAACCCAGTGAAAATTATTCATTTTATGATATATAAACTTTTCTCGTTCCTTTTCAGGTATTTTTACTAGATTCCCAATTTTCAGCTGTTGAAGCTGATGACACGGATGACGACAGGTCGTACATATTTATAATATATCCTCCGGATGCTGATTCTTCCACTAATATTGAACTTGTCAAATCAAGGTAAGGTATTCAAAACCATTATCAAAAACAAAAAACATCTTTTTCATGACAATGAAAACAAACTGAAGTAGAAGTCTTTGGGAGAATTAACTGTCAAAATATTTATCAGTAATGCAATATACCGATATTAAAGCGAGAGGGTCATCACCTGTGTAGACGCGGGAATTGAGTCCCAGGTGACGATAAAACGTGCGCTAAAACGCAAAGGCTCATGGGTAGACGCTTGTTTGTAAACAATGACATGCTATGGCCATCTGACGCATGCACAGGTGACGACTCCCTCGCTTTAATCACGTGCAGCAACATTTTCACTGGGCTATTTGTGAACTTGGCATTTGTTCATCAAGGTAATAATAAAGTAATACAGATAGGGACACAAATTCTCTAAATCATTTTGTCTACTGTAAAGGGGTGAATTATTCACTGGATTTTAAGTTGGCTTACCGGTATTTTGCTGACTGGAAAATGCGCTAAATTAAAACCCAGTGAATATGTAAAATTGAGCATAGAACACATTCTCTAAATGATATATTCGTAAATTTAAAACCCACTGAATATGCCTGAAATGGTAAATCAGCGAAATTTAAACCCAGTGAAAATTAGTCATTTCACAGTATATGAATCGTAGTACATATGGTGTGAATGGGTTTGGATAACAGTGTCTGCTTTAAAAGACAAGCCTAAGAGAGAATATACCATTTGCATCACTTCTATCTCTTTTCTTACAGGATACCCTTTCGTGATGTTGTAGTTGGGCTGATGTCAAATCAGATCTTGCTACAAACTCTTGGTACAGTATTACTGTATGGTGCTCAACATAAAACTAGTAGTGAGAAAGAAATCATATCCAACACTGCTGTACAGTCAGATCTTGATAATCAGGAAGCTGCAGCCAAATCTCTTCTGCCAGGGTTGTTACCTTTCTTGTCACCAAAAAATCTGTCATTGTTGTTAGAATGTTTCATAGAATCTTACAAAGCTTCATGTGATTTTGATCAGAGGCCTGGGTTGAAGTTTCTACTGCAGAAAGTTGCTAAGCTAAATGTTGCTGTGAATCTGTATCGCCAAACTGCTTTGAGCTTTACATTTTATCTGCATACATTGTTAGAGCTTTGTCACCATGCTAGAGAAGAGAATCTGGTGATAGAAAAGGTGAGGCAGTCAGTTATGGCAGCCTTGGAGGTAGTACCGGATGATTACAGTAAAGAGATAGTAGGTGGGGGTGATATTGATGGGAGTGTAGAGAATGGTATCTGTGGTAGTGATGATGTGTTCAAAAAGGAAAGAAGCTTAGAAAAAAAGCTTTCAAGTTCAGACTCCATTTGTAGTTCTGGAGGAGGAGATTGTAGTGATCATCGACGAAGAAGGCTAACATTAGAACATCAGTCATCATTGCCTGCTTTAGTTCCCGCAAGTTTGAGTCATCATCCTGAAGATGATGCCGATAAGTTTATATGGGTTATTAAACGTCTTGTAAGTATCTGTTATGATGCATGCTGTATGTATGTTCAGCTGCATTTAGATCAAGCTGATGATAGTGTAGATATGGAGAGAATTGCAGAGCAGCCATTGTTCTTCTTAGTTGCGCCATTGAGTCCAGATGAGCCAACTCATAGGGGAAAGAAGTTATTTAGCTTTCCTACTTTAGATAGGCAGTCCAGTCGTGATTCCATGAGTGAAGGTAATGATAGTCAGAAAGGGGATGTATCTGCTAAACAGTGGTCACCAAATATTAAAGCAGGTGATCCTAGTCGTTTGGAACAAGCATTCCAAATTAAGAAAGATGCAAAAAAATTAGAGAAGATGAATAGCCGAGATGATGGTAGAGTCTACACCGTAGCTACTAACAAAACTATTAAAAGTTTGATGCAAGAATATAAGAAGAGAAAAGTACACCACTCCAGATCAACATTTGTCAAGAAACCAACTTTCAAAGAGCAGAAAGTTGCACTTGAAGAGATGAAAAAGCAGAAACAACAGGCTTCCTCGCCTGAAGAACAGACGCGTCAACAAGAGATTATAAAACAACAGAAAAATGCAACAATGAAAGACAGTGAGGCCCACATGAAAGCATGGTCTGATATGATCTTGTCCCTGCTTCAACTGCTGCAGTTACTGCCTGATGCACAGTTCAAGGCACTGTTACCAGCTACGTTCCCTGCTGTTAGCCAACTGATATGTCATGTGACCAATAATGCTGTCAGACAAGCCACTATGGAATTTATGGACAGGGTTGCTAGAATTCACCAAATTGTACCTTAAATAACTGGTTACATATCTCAGATTTTGTTTTCTATTAATTTATGTGGAAACATCTCATTTTTTGGTCACATAATTTTTGTAGAAATGATTGTTTTTGTAGAAGATAATTTTTAGTGATTGTGGTTACAAATTGACTTTGTTTTTTGTTGCATTGTGCAATTTGGCTGAAACAACAGATTATTATGAATAGAGATATTTCAAAACTCACCTGTCATTTTTTATTTATTTTAAAGTTCAAAAATTGAATAATTACTGGTAAATTGGTTTCTTGCAATGGAATATTACCGGGTATCTTTAAATCATGTACTTATATGTATCTGTCTTTTTTTTTTTTTTTCAATATATTTCCTAAGTATCCAACATGTATTTGTTGGTATCATATTTTGTTATAGTGTTATCTCAGACGTTCATTTGGTTCTTACTCATATTCAGCTTTGAATATTGTTCTGAAACCCCATATTATAAGGTACCTGATGTCACAGTGTGAACATTTGGAATAGGTTATAAAATTCTTAGTTTGCAGTGAAAGGCCATTGTCAATTCCTTCTGTCTCATTTAAAGAAGAGGGGTTGTATCTTGCACACACACAGGAATTGAGCCCTGAGTAACAATAACACGTGCTGGGTAGACACTTCTCTGTTAACAGTAAATAGCTATGGCCGCCTGTCACATGCGCAGGTGACGACTCCTAGCTTTAAGTTATTTTACTTGCTTTATTAGAGGCAAATATGCTTTATGTAAATTACAGGAGTGTTTTTATTGGGAAAATAAGATGTATTTTGATGATTAATTATAGAACACCTGCATTTTTTTGTTAATATTCGCTTCTCTTTGAGATGCACTTCTAATAGAGCAAATATGGTATATGCGATATATACTAACTAAAATTGTGGCTAACTTCAAAAGCAGAACTATTTATTTCAATTATTTTATAATGTACAGTACTCCTAAAAGGTCACAATAATGTATAGCACTCAAATGTGTTGATGGTGCCATGATTGTGTTCTCTGAATTGCCCAAATTATAAAATCTATTGAATATTTGAAGAGTTATTTTTATGTCTTATTTATTTATTAGACCATTCTTTCAACTGTGTTTACATATATACCGTTATTTTAATGGTGAACATGTGTATGTGTAAGATACATACAATTATGTATTCAAATCTAGATCTTAAAAAGTGGCACATTTTGTGTGTGTGCGACTACCAGATTATTTCGCTCAAGATTTGCACATTTTTCAAATGTTCTTAAATTGCAACGTATATTTTTTACTGTAAAGACTCGCTACCGGACAGATTTGGATGAAAGGTTTTGAAAATTTTTGTCAGCTTTTTTGGGAAAGAGACAGTTTTTCAATGATGGTGAAAAGATAAGACTTATACTGCCAAATATGACTTGCATTCACAATATGTGCAATCGTTAGTTTATTTAATGTTCATTGTTGCTGTGGGAGAGGATTTGCATAATTATATACAAGTAATTTCACACAATTTGCAATTATTGAAATGTCAGACGAGAAATCAGTACCAATTATTCACATCACTATTATGTCTAAGACTTGAATATTATTATGTAAGAATCTGATTTGGATTGCATGTGATCTGTCTTTTAATCTATACTGTCTTTTTCGGGTGTCTTATGAACAAACTAATGTTTTATTCACAGTTCATTTCCCTACAGGGTGGTACAAGTCTTGCATTTACTTCATTCTAAGAGAATTTATTTAAGGTATATATATTTGGGATAAGAATATTTTATGCCTGTACTATTATTTATTAAGTGTAATATGTATATATAGAACTATTATGTAAATATATGTAGTATCTCGTCAAAATAAAACAGTGTATAAAATATGTGTGTTGGATGTGAAGGAAATTGCATGCCTCGATCACAAAACTTTGTGCTCGGTACTGACAATAGATAATGGTACATTATGCAACAGAAATGCATTCCTTGTGTTTGGGGGCTGTGGTGACCATCTTCCTTTCATGACATATTGGCAACTAAGCAGGGATTTCCCTGTTGAGTACCCAACGGATATTGCAAAACCCCAGCACTATTCTCTTCAGCAATTGGCAACTAAGACAGGATTTCCCTGTTGAGTACCCAACGGTTATTGCAAAACCCCAGCACTATTCTCTTCAGCAATTGGCAACTAAGAC